TTGAAAAGCACCCCAAGCCTTTTCTTCTTTTTTCTTTTTCTTTTTTTAATTTCTCCACCTTTTCCCCCAAGCCTTTTTTTCTTAACATTATTTGTAGGGTGTAGGTGTAAATCTTGGGTTCTTTGAAATTCTGTTACTTGCCTTTGTGTTCTTGCTGTGTTTGGTGGTGAAATTATAAGAAACTCTGTTTACCAGTTTCTAAAAGGGTAATTTGGGGCATTTGCAATATTTGGATACTCAAGGCAGCTTCTGGCCAGTCAATGTTTTGTCAGGTAACTCACTGGGATGAGAGCTCAGGTTTGAACTGTGAGCTCTGCTCCAAGGCTGCCTGCAAACGTTGAGCTGCAGCTGGACTCCCTCCACAGAGATCAGCAGGACAATTCACTGAGCTCAGAAGGTCCGCCCTGGCCGTGCCAGCCAGTACAACCCGCAGTGTGACAGCCAGCACTGCAGAGTCGCCGCCTGCTTCCATCACAGAAGAGAGACAGACAGTTGAACAGATGAGAGGGGGTGGAGCCTGACTGTGTGACCTGAAATTGCACTGGCTTTGATTTGTGCAAAAGCCATTTCCCCTTTCAAAGTCACTTTCTGCGCATGGACCACGTCCCAGTAATCAGCATTCACCGTGGCTGGCTGGACGGTGAGTCAGGACTCTAAATTCTGGCTGCAGTACCCGGCCAGATGGAAGCAGCGAGGATGGCAGGATTCTAGGATGATGTCAGCAGTTTCCGAGAGCTGGTCAAAATGTAAGACAGCGCTAGTCTGGACTGCAGTAAATGCATTTGAAAGCCCCATGCCATCCCAGGTCAGTCCAAGGCTCCATCTAAGGCTCTGTGCATCCATCAGTGGAGGAAGGTTTGACAGGCCTTGCCTGGCTGCTAACACGTCTCCAAGCACAGTGCAGCCAAGGAAATGCTGCCGAGTGGGGGTACAACAGCCTCCACAGTTTCATTCTGGGCAGGCCCACGTGAAGTCCCTCACTCACTTCATTCACATTCACATTTGACAAATTCTTTTATCAGTTCCTATACATTACAACTTTGAAAGACAATCATCAGTAGAAGGCTAACATATGTAAAATCTTATATAATGAGCAGAGGAGTGATCTGCAGGACACGGGAAAACCGTCTTACAGAAGACTGCCATTGTGGCGGGGGTGGAAAAGCTACTGCCCAGGACACTGGCATCCCACATGGGCACCAGTTTAGGTCCTGCCTGCTCCACTTCCCATCCAGCTGCCTGATAATGGCCTGGGAAAAGCAGTAGAGGACAGTGCAAGTGTTTGGGTCTCTGCTATACATGTGGAAGATTGGATGAAGTTCCTGGCTTTGGCCTAGCCAAGCCCTGGCCATTATGCTCATCTGTGGAGTAAACCATCAGATGGAAAAACTCTCATCTCTCCCTGGCTCTCTGTAACTTTTTTATTTCAGTCTAAAAAAATTAATTTTAAAATATATAAAATAAAATGAAAAAAGAAAGCAAAAAAAGAAATTTAAAATATAAAACCCCTTATAAAATACTAAAAAAAAAAAAAAGGGACAAGGAGCTGGTGCATTTATGTAACAAGATGCGGCACCAGCATCACATATGGGCATAGTTTGAGTCCTTTCTGCTCCATTTCTGATCCAGCTCTCTGCCTATTCCCTGGGAAGGCGACAGAGGATGGCTGATGTCCTTGGGCTACTGTACCAATGTAGGAGACCTGAAGGAAGCTCCTGTCTTCAGACTGGGACAGCTTTGGCTGTTGTGCTCACTTGGGGAGTTGACCAGGGGGTGGAAGAGTCTGTTTCGCCTCTCTCTGTAACTTTGCCTTTACAATAGAAAGATCAGATCCTGGCGCAACTGCTCAATGGTTAAATCCTCACGTGTAAGCACTGGCATCCCATATGGGCACTTGTTTGTGTCCTGGCTGTTCCACTTCCGGTCTAGCTCCCTGCTTATGGCCTGGGAAAGCAGGAGAGAATCACACAAAAGCCTTGGGACCCTGAACTTACATGAAAGTCCTAGAAGAAGTTTCTGACTTCCTTCTTTGGATCAACTGAACTCCAGCCATTGTGGCCATTTGAGGTGTGAACAAGTGGATGGGACATCTTTCTCTCTGTCTCTCTTTCTCTCTGTAAATCTGTCTCCCCAATTAAAAAAAAATCTTGGGCCCGGCATGGTGGCCTAGCAGCTAAAGTCCTCACCTTGAATATGCCGGGATCCCATATGGGAGCCAGTTCTAATTCCAGCAGCTCCACTTCCCATCCAGCTCCCTGCTTGTGGCCTGGGAAAACAGTCTAGGACAGCCCAAAGCCTTGGGACCCTGCACCTGTGTGGGAGAACTGTAGGAGGTTCCTGGCTCCTGACTTCAGATCAGTGCAGCACTGGCCGTTGTGGTCACTTGGGGAATGAATCATTGGACAGAAGATATTTCTGTCTCTCCTCCTCTCTGAATATCTGACTTTGCAAAAACAAAGAAACAAACAAACAAAAAACTTGGGCCCGGCGCAATAGCCTAGTGGTTAAATTCCTCACCTTGAACGCACCAGGATCCCATATGGGTGTCAGTCCATGTCCCAGCAGCTCTGCTTCCCATCCAGCTCCCTACTTGTTCATGTTTTAGATGTTGTTGTAAGGGAACATAAACAAAGAAATAGATAAGATACTATTTAGGTAAAAAAGTTTAAAGGTGTGACTTTATGGTTTACTATATCCATATAAATACACAGGTATATACTTATGGTTATGGTTATTTACAGAATATGAAGAATGGGCCAGAAGCGTAGAGTATCGCCCCTCAGTATTCACAGGGCATTCGTTCCAGGCCCCTCTCTAGATGTTAAAACTTGTTGATGCGCATAATAAATGCTCATAATAAAACAGCATTCTATTTGCATAAAATCTATGTACATGTACCCCATCCTTTAAATCACCTGCAGATTACTTGTAACAGTTAGTCTAATGTAAGTACCTTATAGTCATTGTCATGTGTTGTTCAGAGAACAGCAAGCAGAACATCTGTCCATGCTCAGCACAGGTGGAAGGAACAATCACCCAGCTGTACAACCTAAGGTTGGTTGAACCTAAGGATTCTGAAACCCCTGGGGATCGAGGACGGACCAGATACTGTTAATGAAATTAGGAGGAAGGGGAAAAATGTTATCTGAGCAAAGGCTTTTTGAAGGAAGCACTAGCTACATTCTGCAATATTTTAATTACCTAAAAGCCATTCTTTTGCCAAGTCTCGGCATAAATGTCCTCTTCCGTAGTTATAGTTCATAATCAAAACCATTTTTTTTCAGAGTGTAAACATTCAGTGTCCAAGTCAACGTTTCTCAACTTGAGGTCTGAACACATTTCTCAATACTGAGGAACAGTGAGGCGTTTCTCTCGGACTTTGTCGGCTCATCCTTGTGTGTGATTTAGCAACTGGAACGGCCACTGATGATCATTTCCAAAGAGAAGGGTTGAAGGCACCACGCACAACGCCACACGATCACCTTTGAGCCGTCCTTTTCTCACCCACGCTGTAATTCAGATCACAAGTACAGGTAACAGCCCCTCAGGAGACGGGGATGGTGGCTCCATTCATCCTGAAAATACAGCCTTTGGGGATTGGTAGAAACTGTAAACTGCAACTCTGTAGCTATCTGTTCTTATCGAGAATGAGAGGATTAGGGCCTGGTGGGTGGTGACCTAGTGGCTAAAGTCGATTAGGGCCTGGCGTGGTGGTCTAGTGGCTGAAGTCCTTCCCTAGCTTGCACCAGGATCCCATATGAGTGCCAGTTCATGTCCCATACAAACGATATCCATTTAGTTATACCAATGATACTCATTCAGTTGTTCTCATAGAAATGATATCCAATCAGTTATACAAAAGGAATCCATTTGATTGTTCTCTTACAACTGATATGCTATCAGTCACACAAATGGCATCCATCCAGTTGTTTTCATACCCATATTATCCTATCAGTAGTAATCCTGTACTTGTTGACAATTCCAGTCTGCATCTGCTTTCCTTGGAAGGAATACAACAATGTGTACTTTTCCCTTCAACCTTTCATAACTGCAGAGTTTCACTTCTGAGTCGCAGAGGAGGCAGACAACGCACTGATGGAAGGTTCACTGAATTATTTGCGTTTCATACCTCCTCACTGACGGTCACTGTCACTTGAAGGAGTCAGTAGGAATTTAAGGGTTAGGTCTCAGTAGCTGACGGGAGGTGAGACCTGCGTCTTGGCATTGCAAGTCAGGCTTCCGTCTGTGGTGCCAACATCCCATATGCACACAGGTTTGTGTCCCAACTGCTCCATTTCCCATCCAACTCCCTAGTTACAGACTGGGAAAACAGTGGAGGGTGACTCAAGTGCTTGGATCCCTGTACACATGTGGGAGACTCGCAAGAAGCTCTTAGATTCTGGCTTCGGAAGCCATTGCGGCTATCTAGGGAGTGAATCAGTAGATATTATATGATCTTTCTCTATGCACACTCTAAATTTCTGCTTTTCAAATTAAAAAACAGACAAAAAAAAACCAAAACAAAAACAAAACCTGAGTGCCCAGTGGCATTGTGCTGAAGTTCCTGGGTTTTCTGTGAGGGAAGCCTGCACTTTCAAGCACTTTCTGGCCCTGGGCGGACAATTAAACTCTCTGAATCTTTCCCTCAAGGGGATATTGAAGTACCTTTCTCTGGGGCAGTCCTGGAGACCCAGCAGGTTACAGGACCATCTGGGAGGCCCAAGAAAGGAGAAAGAGGAAGCTTTTAAAAGGGTTGTAGACAATGCCTTGCATATACTAATCATTCAATAAATACTATTAAGACTAAATAATAATAGGTAATGTTTTAGTGGTAATTCCTTTATGCCGTGCTGTTGATAACTTTATGTACATGATATTAATAAATAGTTCTCATTGGTATCCCTGGTTTCCATTTCAGGATCTGGCTCAGTAAGACCATGCTTCGGCTTCAGAAGGGCGGGAGATGTAGAAGCCCCGCTTGCTCTCCTCGTGTTAATCACACAGGTTCCAACTAAAGCAGCAGGATGTCCTTGGCATGCTGGCAGAAGAAAGCAGAGGGGAAGGGCTGATCCACTATCTAGTTAAACAGCAAAACCTAAGGCTTTTGCCTGCACCTGGCCATTTCCTTGGAAATTAGAAGCTGGAAGATACTGCGGCTCCATGGGCACCTATAGCAAGGACTCCTGAATTGTGCTGAATCAGAGAGCTTTAGCCGATTCCTTCGCTGGACACTTCATGTTTGTTCATGGCCCTCGTGACCTTGCACGTTCTTCCCCAGCATCATCTGTGTCTTAACTAGCCGCTCCTCCCGCCCCCACCCCAGGAGCTCCTGCAATGCTGCACATACACCAGAGTGAGTCAGTTCCAGGGAGGGAAGCCCAAGCTGCCCGTCTGTCTGTTGAGCAAGCTGCCTTCCCTTCTTCCTATTTTCCCACATCTCTGCAGGCACAGCAAACATTGCAAGGGAACAGCATCTCGCTCCTCTGAAGACAGTGCTAATGCCAAGGTAGCTGTGTAAAGCCCACAGCACGTTTTCTTGTTTTTCTACAAATCTTTTACAGCCCCAAGGAGCGTGTCATGCCGGGCATCTCTAAGTCTCAATCTTTTTCTTTAGTTGGCTTTTACAGTTTTAATATTAGGAACAGTCCATCCTAGCGTTTACCGTAAGTAGCAAAGATTTGATGCAACAAGGTAGGAAAACAATGATTTCTGATCCCTGTGACAACTGCGGCTTGACCCCCTGGCGTGGTGTGTGTACACCAGGCTGGACCAGGCTGGACACGGTCTTCTGCATTATTCTGACTCCTTCTTAGGGCTCAGTTACCTCCTTTCTCAAGCCTGTGAAGATGGATCACATTACTGAGGGGAACTCGGTAAATCTGCGTGAAGCTTCGCAGCCACACAACATGCCATTTGAGAACCCGCAACTCTGGTGTTTCAGCCCAGTACGGAATCTGCTATTCCTGTATTCAACCTGATTGGAAATCGAGCCTTAATACTTTCACTTTTTAATCAGATTTATTTATTTATTGGGAAGGTAGACTTTCAGAGAGACAGAAAGTGCTTCCTTTTGCTGGTTCACTCGCTAAGTGGTCCCCATGCTAAAGCTGAGCTGATTCAAAGCCAGAAGCCAGGAGCTTCTTCTAGGTTGCCCATGCTGGTGCAGGGTCTGAAGGCTTCGGGCCCTCCTCTGTTGCTTTGATAGGCCAGACAGGGAGCTGGATGGGAAGTGGAGCAGCTGAGATACAAACTGTCACCCATATGGGATCCCAGTGCTTGCAGGTGGAGGATTAGCCAATAGAGCTATCCTGCTTTCTTATTTAAAACCATTGGTCCACTCTCAAGCCCTCTGCTGTCCTGTCCCATCGCCAGCCAAACTTCACAGCCTCAGAACGGGGAACACAGGTGAGGCTAGGGGCGAACAGAGCTCCAGGAGACTGCAGTCAAAACTTTGAGAACTTTGTGAGCTCAGGTGAGCTGGGGCTGGTCCATTTTCCCACCCATAGTGCTAATAATCCAAGCCATTCCAACACAGGCACAAACTTCTAGACTATTTCAGTTCAGATCGCACAGCTCACAGCGGATGCCGTAAATTTTACCGATACTAACTATGCCTCTTTGGGAAGAAAAGCCCTGACCTAACAGGGTCACTCGGAAGCCACTACTGAATGCTACAGCCCAGGTCGGACGCCTCTCTCTCCCCTCCGCTGGCCCTTGGGGGAGGCCCAAACGTGCTGACCCCTCCCGCTGACCTCTGACTCACAAAGGTGCCAAGCGGGTCACAGGGACGATTGTGAGGCAGCCGCCCTGGAAGTGCCCTTCACCGCCTTCACCGCGCCCCAGGCAGGGCCTGGCCCTCACCAGGCTTTCCCCACGGCAGGAATTTCAGTGGCTCCCGGGAGACCCGAAACAGCCTAGAACTGAGGTCACTTTTCCCGCCCGACGCCCCTGAACGTGGGCCTTGGGGCAGGTTAAACCCGCGGAAAAGAATTTTTCTTCCCAGGCCCCAAGCTAATCAGGGCCCCTCCGCCCCCCGACCCAGCCCAGGCGCCCCGGGGCTCCAGCTGCCCCGAGCGATCAATCAGGAGGACATCGCCACGTTTTCACCCGGCGGGGCGGAGAAGACCCCGCGCGGCCAGGGCTAGAGCCCGGGCGGGAAAGGCCGCGCGCGGGGCACGCCGGGAGAGCCCGCCCCGCCCTGTGCCGCGCTCGGGCTGGGCGACCCTCCCTCCGCGGGCGGCGCTGATTGGCCCGCCGAGCGCCGCGCGCTGATTGGCCGCGTGGGCGAGGCGGAGGAGAGCCGTGCGCAGCGGCGTGTGTGGGGCCGTGTGCAGACCCGCGTGTGGCGCAGGCAAGGAAGGAGCCTGAAGATAAACAGCCACTGCCTGGCGAGCCGCCGTCTCGGGGCCTGCGTCTGAGTGTCCGCTGCCGCGGGCTCGCTCCGACGCCTGAGGTGAGAGCCGGGGACGGGCGCCCGGGGATGGGATGCCGCGCGGCCTGGGTCGCGAGGGCCGGGGCCAGGCCAAGAGGGGAGGAGAACGGTGGGGCGACGATGGCGGCCGCCGCTGCTGCGTCAGGCGGGAAGCCCGGCGCTGGCCGTCGCGGCGGACTTGGGTTTCCGGGAAGAAGTCGGCCGCGGTCAGGCGATCCTGCCGTCCGTCCTTCGGTCCGGAGAGGCTGGGCCGCCGCGCCTCGGGCCCCCGCTCCGACGCGCCGAGGCCGCACCCCAGGCCGCAGGCTTGGCACGAGGGAGGCCCGAGCCGCGCGCGCCCTCGGCGGCTGAGGCCGTGAGGCTTCGGGGGGTCGTGGGACGCGGGCCCCGAGGGCCGAGTCGGCGGGAACTTGCTGCAGCGACCCCCGGCTGCGGAGGGGGATGGGGAGGGCAGGCGTGCGGGCCATGTGCTGGGGTGGTGGGCCTGGCGGGCCGTGGGCCAGGGGCTGGGGGACTGCGGCCAAGGCCGCCGCGGGGTGTTGGGGTGTCGGACATTCCGCTGGAAACTGGGTAGCTTTGGGAATCGGTACTCTTCCCTCGGAGCTTCCTGAGCCTGGAAGTTTAATCGCCATTTAAATTACTTTTTGAAGTTGCCCATCTTAAGACTGCCAATGGGAGAGGGGGAGAAAAATGATGATGATGAGTTGGTAGGCTAGAAATCCACTTTTCCTGTGTTACCGTGATTTAGTGTGCGGGGGCTTTTAAAATCAGTACCAAAAAGGAAAAAAAAAAATGACTTAGAACTCCAGGCCCGCAGCAGCCGCGTTGCCTTTGCATCGCTTCTTGGACCCACGAAGTGGATATAAATTACAAGTGAGGCACGGCGCTTAATGAGCCAGGCCCCGTCTAGATTTTCCATAACGTGGGAACCTATTTTAGAACGGCCCCGTCGCCCACGTTTGGCTCCGGGTGAGACTCCAGCCTGATGCCACATGTTGGCCACATGGCCACGGGGCACTCGCCGAGGCCTCCCTCGGCCCCTCGGGGCTCCTTGAGGCAAAGCCGCTCAAAGTCGGCATTTAACGCGAAGCAGTGCCCCTGTACACGCCAATCTCGGCCCCAAGTTCATTTTGTAAGACTTTTTTTTTTTTCTGTTTTTCTGTTTGCTCCACTTGTGGAAACAAGCAGTTCTCTTTGCGTTGGTGAGTTAATGTTTGAATAGAAGCTAGCAGCTTCTCCGTGTTGCTTTGCTCCCTTGGTGTAAACGGAGCCTGAAGTTTTGAGGTGCTCAGAAGGCGCTGGGGTGCGGCCCGGCTCTCCTTCCTGCAGCGCTGGGACTGCTGGGGAGGCGCACTCCGAGGCCTGCGGGTTTATCCTGGCCAGCCAGCTTCTGCAGGGGAGGAGTTCTTCAAGTGGGGGTACGAAATAATGTGTTAGAGTCTCAAAGGCTCAATTCAGGACTTGGGCTTTTTCCCGAGTTGCTACCCTTGGTAAGAGGTTTTATTTTGTGTGTTGGTAGTGTGTATACTCATTTCACCTGCAGTCTTGGTGGAAAACCAAGTTTTTCTCCCAAAGCAAAGCCCCACGTTCCTTTCTGCATGTTGGTAACGGGAAGGTAGTGCATTTTAAGCTTCAAATCAGTGTTGTAATGATATACAACTGGTTCTTTCCTTAAAATCTGATCAAGTATGCGGCATGGATGCAGGGATGTGCCAGGTTGGAGGTGGAAGGAGAAGGCCACCTTTGGATTAACTGGACTGATTGATGTATCTTGGGAGAGGGTGCTTTTTCCCCTGCAGGAATGCGAGCCAAACAGTGCCGGCCCCTCCGGTCACCCCGCAGTAAGTGGAGGCCTCTGGCCTGTCCTGGCCAGTCCCTTCCCTGGCGGTTTCAGATGTTGCTGCACTCAGGGAATACCCCGTTGGGAGATTCCAGCAAGTTCTGCCACAGTTCCATATTGTAGGAAGCTGCTGAGAAAGAGTATGGTGGCAGCCAAAATTCCATTTTCATGAGTAGAGTCGTTAATTAGGAACAGGAGCTTACAGCAGTCACCTGGGGTGGCTCCTTAATTACAAGTGGAGACTTGGCCATTACAGTGCCAGAGCTTTTGTGTGCAGTGTTGGGGAAACACTTGCCCTGGTGATCAGGACAGGTGTGCGGAGGGATGAACGCAGTGACGGCTTCAAAACTTTAGATTTTCAAGTTATCTGGTTTTGTTTACTTTGGGTAGGACTTTCTAGAAAAATGTAGATAATGTTTGCATTGAAAGCTTTTGGGGCAGGCGCGGCTGCCTAGCAGCTGAAGTCCTCTCCTTGCTTGTGCAGGTTCTAATCCTGGCTTTTCCACTTCCCATTGTAGTTCCCTGCTTTGGGCCTGGGAAAGCTGTAGAGGATGTCCGTGTGGCCGGGCCGTGGGACCCTGCACTTCTGTGGGAGACCCGGAAGAGGTTCCTAGCTCCTGACTAAAGATTGGCTCAGCTCCGCCCTTGTGGCTACTTGGGGAGTGACTCAATGGACGGAAGAGCTTCCTCTCTGTCTCCTCCCCTGTATCTGACTTTCCAATAAAAATTAAATAAATGTTCAAAAAAAAAGGTCAAGTTCTTTTAACGTGCTAGTTAGTAGTGCTCTGGGCTGGGAGAGAGGGAGGAGAGGGTGTCTGCTGTTAGGATTCCTCCTGCTTTCTGGCTGTGTGGGTTTGGGTAATGTGCTGGGTCTCAGATCTTAATTTTCCCTATTAAAATGGAGCAGGAATCTGACTTGTAAGGCTGTAAGACACATGTTAATTCCAGACTCAAGGTGCATACTCTGCTTTTAATGAAAAGCCTCCTGAGATAAATGGATGTAATTAGTCAAGTCAGGAAGCAAACCAAGAGCTTGGGTAGCACAGAACCAGGTGCTGTGGTCTGCTCGCCACTCCGGTCACAGTGCTTCCTTCCACTGTGCCTGTAGAACAGTGTTTTTATTATAGAAGTCTTTGCTGTTGGAACACCAGACAGATTTATTTGAAATATAATGAGTGAATGCCTTTAAAAAAGAAAATTTGTTTTATTGGAAAGGCACATATACAGAGAGGAAGATTTTCTGTCCCATGGTTCACTCCCCAAGTGGCCGTAACAGTTGGAGGTGAGCCAATCCAGAGACGGAACTTCTTCCGGGTCTCCCACACGGGTGCAGTGTCCCAAGGCTTTGGGCCATCCTCGACTGCTTTCTCAGGCTATGAGCAGGGAGCTGGATGGGAAGTGGAGCTGCTGGGATTAGAACCGGTGCCCATATGGGATCCTGGCACATTCAAGGCGAGGGCTTTAACCACTGTGCTGTCGCTCTGGGCCCCAGTGAATGCCTTTAACTTCGCTGTAGTCCAGTAGTTGAGGCGGGAATAACTAGGAGTTTGGGTGGCATAACTAGTGTGTCTCTCACAGATGTACACTTTTACTGTGGTGACAGGAAACAATAGTTATCTAAATCATGTCATCTTTGCTAGTGTTCTATCCCCAGCTTTCTTGTTGGTGTCAGATCTATAGAGAGGAAGATCTTCCGTCCAATGATTCACTCCCCAAGTGAGCTCAACGGCTGGTGCTGTGCTGATCCGAAGCCAAGAGCCAGGAACCTCCTCCAGGTCTCCCACATGGGTGCAGGATCCCAAAGCATTGGGCTGTCCTCGACTGCTTTCTCAGGCCATGAGCAGGGAGCTGGATGGGAAGTGGAGCTGCCAGGATTAGAACCAGTGCCTGTAAATCCTTAGTCTTAGTATGGCCTGTCCTTTTCTTGTGCTTTTATTTTTTGAAGCCAAACTTAATTTTATTTGAGATGCAGAGCTACAGAGAGGAGAGACTTACCTTCCATCTCCTCGTACATTCCCTAAATGGCCTCGATGGCAAGAACTGGTCTGGGCCTAAGTTGGCAACTAGGAGGTTCCTCTGGCTTTCCCACGTGGGTGCAGGAGCTCAAGGATTTGGGCCTTCCTGTTGCTTTCACAGGCCCGGCGCAGAGCTGAATGGGAAGTGGAGCAGCTGGGGCTTGAACTGGTGCTGCAGGCTGAGATTTAGCTTGCTCTGCCAAGTCACCAGCTTCAACCCCTTTGTTGTTAGACCAAGACAGTGCTCCTGTCTGGCGGCTTGCTGCCCAGATGCCTGTGATGACGGGCTGAAGCAAGGTGCCAAGAACATGAGCCAGGTCTCAGCTTGGATGGCAGGAATGCAAATACTTGAGTCATCCCTGCAGTCTTGTCTGCATTGGCTTGGAATTAGAACTGGGGACTGAACCCAAACCCTCTGGTATCGGACACTAGTCACAGTAGACCTAAACCCTAAACACATGGATTTTATTCGATTTTAGAATGTGGTTTATGTCTGAAAAGTTGGTAGGAAAAAAATTGAAAGTTGAATTTCAGAGGTGTTTCTGTGCTGCACTGTATAGACTCCAAGCTCCAGTTGGAATTCTAGCTTCCTGTTGTACAAGTAAGTTGGGTCCCTGCAACCAAGACCTGGTGTTGAGCTTCGACTTTGCACCATGCTGTTGGCATTGAGGAAATGAACCAGTGAGGGGGCGGGGATCTTTTTCAGTTTCGGAGTCCTGATAGTTGGACATTTAGAGAGTCATTGGCAGTTTTCTGCTCTTTGCCATTACATTTCAAGGAAGAGATGATAAATGGGAGACTTGAATTAGCTAAGGTTGCCCACTCTAAACTGGCTGTGTAGACAATACATTGTGGTCTATGGAAGCAAGTAAAATGAGAGTATTGTGGCCTTCCCTACCCTTCGTGTGAACGTGGTGTACCGGCAAGTAGTGCTGAGGTGGGTTAGGTGTGCCTTCTTAAAGTAACAGGAGCCTGGGTAGCAAGTTAGGGGTCTTGGCCTGGCTGCTGACTCGGTGAACTGTGTAAGCATTGTATTAGATGAGCTGAAATAAATGTGCCTTGTCATTCAGCAGCGCCATTGTATTTCCTTAGCTTTATTACAATCTAGAATTTTGTGATAGCTATGTTGAATGTGTTTAGGGTGGTAGATTTTAATCTGCCAGCAA